TGACCAAGGGAAGTCCTGGGTGTTTGAGCAAGTCTCTGCAAGTTGTTGCTATGAGGGCCAAAGAAAATCTTGAACTGCAGCCTAGCAGGGACAAACTCACTGTCTTCCAGACAACTGAAAACTGCTCTATCTAATCACTATGAGGTTTATATTACCTTTCCAAGAGGATCCCAGGAAGCCCCAAAGCTACAGAACACAGAGACCAAAAAAAAAAAAGACTGCGTAAATTCCCATGATACCAAGATGCTGGGTAGTTTCCAAGGGCAGATTCCAGAAAATGCAAATAGTTCACGCCCTCCAGAAGAAATTCCAGACAAATTCAGACAACTGCTCTTAGAAAGTCTAATATAAAATTGCATTTTAGGAGCTAGGATGAAGAGGTTAGAAGCACAAGGCCAGGCAAACATTTCCAGTCTAGCAGGGATTCTACCTTCACAATGAATACTCTTTGCCATCATTCCCATTTCACATGGCCACTGAGAAGATCCCCTGTGCAGGGCATGAAATCCAGCGATACTGGTGTCTACTGCCAAAATGGTATCTATCCTTTTGGCAATTCTGGGGTCAGAAAGAACTTTACCTATACTGGTGTCTACTGCCAACATGGTATCTATCATTTTGGCAATTCTGGGGTCAGAAAGACCTTTACCTTTTTTACGTTTACGTGAGAATTAAAATGCCTTCTTTTCAGGAGTCAAATGTTTGCCACTTTAAAAAAAAAGCTGAGTATCATTCAAAAACAGAAGCCACCCTTTCCACCACCCAAGAATTTGACACAAAACCATAAGCAAAAAGTAAAAATAAAGTTCTAATGAGTCTCGAAGTATTCAAATCTGGCATCTACTTTGGAATTTCTGAACAAAATGTTTCAGCAGTAAGATGTGTTCACAGCAGACTCACATTAACTTTCACCCTTTAGTAAGATATCACATTTCACTACATATCCCCTTACTCATTTTTAATCTTTCCTCATTCTCCTTTCCCCAAATATGTATGCAATATTAAAGTTATTGCCCAACTACAAAAATGTTTTTTTTTTAAGGTCATTTTCAGTGACAAACAAGAAGTAGGAATGACGCCTTAGGTCCTCTAAATCATTCCCACCAGGATTAAGTCAAATGTGACTATGCAGCAAGAAAGCAGTCATATTCGTAATGGGACCTCTGTGGCTACTGAAATTACTCACAGATTAAAAGTCCAAATTACAGAGTAGATATGAATTTTAAAAATATAAAAAAATACATTGTCAGTTCATAGACTGAAAATTAAAGAAACTTCTTTCCAAATTAAAGAATATCTGATCTAGGTCATAATAAAACAATCTAAAATTTTCTGTAACAAGTGTTACAAAGTAATCCTTTCAACCTAGGTATACACATGATTGAGGACAGGAGAAAAAAGAAATGATGACTGAACCTACTGGAGGAGAAGCCAGAATGAGGACCAGGACAGCACAACATAACAGAGTCCAAGATAAGAAAAGATTTCTTAAAGCAAAGTTGAGAAAAGGGAACACTTAGACACATCAGGGGTTGGGATCCGTTGCCGGACACGGAAAAAAAAAAAAAAAAAAAAAAAAAAAAAAAAAAAAAAAACAAGAGTCAACTCAAAACTGCCATTTTTAAAAAAAAAAGAAAATATCAGAGCTCACAATACTTCCCAAGCTTTAGAAAGCTTTCTGTGTGAGAAAACAGGTCACGGAAATGAAGTTTCACTATTTACAAATACCGTATTAGGTTTAAAAGATCCCGGGTTTTCCAAAAGTCCTAGGTTCCACTTTGTGTGTGATCTTATGATAGTTCTAGCCAATATTGAAACAAGCATAAGAAAGATTTAACACATCATCCCCACAAACATGAAATGCATATCCCTCAAATAGAACCAGTGCTTATAAGGAACAACATTAAAAGAGACATTTTTGAACTCTTTAACAACTTTTCAACTAGTTTGTCCTATGCAAATGACTTTCAAAATCTCTGGCAGGACCCGGGAAGTACAGCACAAGAGGCTACATTTAATTAAAGATTCAGTCCAATTCCCAGTAGTAAATCACAGGAAATATTTTGTTCCAAAGCAGCCTCTCAGTCCTAAAACTGTCAAGTTTTGGCTGACTTGCATTTTAGCACTGGATCTTAAGTTAAAAGTCATAGTAAAATTTCTCCCTTTTAGAAATCTTTAGGAGAGTCTTTCAGATATGAGACTGAAACTTGGTTTTTACAAGTAACTCATTTTTATGAAAACTCTAACCAGAAGACTAGTTATGAGTGAGAACAGTTCAGGCTGTGTCTTTCCTTCTTAAAATACCCTTTAACTCAAACTGCAAATGCACTTGCTGTAATCTGACTTGTACCAACTGACTCATTACACCTGAAACATTTACTCATTTGAGAAAAGGCAGCCTGCTCCCTCCCAAAGCCCCACTAGATTCCCACTGGGAGCTGCCAATGGGCCTCCAATTCCAGACAGACCTTACTTAATACTTAATAAGTCTCCTAGATCCGGTATGAAAATTTTTTTTTAAAAAAATTAAACTATGCTTGCATTTGAAAAAATTTAGAACAAAAACCTGACAAAATGGTTGGGGGAGGGGAGTGATTTGACATTAGAATCTATTAAAACAAAACAATACCTAAATCTTAGACTAGGAACATAACCTAAACTTTTTAAGAAAACTCTGACAGTATCATTTGAGAGACAAAACTAAAAATATCCCCAAACATTACCTTTCTCCATCTTTAAAGGCACTCCAGCAAATTGAAGTAGGTTGTACCCATTTCCAAAGATGCATAAGAACAGTATAGTACACACCGTACTTTGAAAGCCAAAGAAAAAGGATTTTCTTTTTTAATGGCAAATGCTTCATAACAACTGAAGTAGGATTGATGGATGCGCAAGTCAAGTACTTAAATTCAAATGTTAAGTAAAATGGGATCTGGCAGACAATCCGATTTTGTGACTTACGCGGAGCTTAAGAAAGTGAGGCACTTTACCTTTTTGAAACACTTGGAAAAACTGCATGTAACGCACGCCTAGTAATGAGGTTACAAATGATACTTTTACTCTAGAACCCGCTTTATAAAAATTAAAATAAATCCTGGCTCCTTCTCCAGGAACTTCAACACGATGTGGGTAACCTGACCTTTTTGACACACATTAACCACAAGCATGACAGCGTATGTGAAACAATCCCGAGTAACAACTGCGCGGCAAAGACCAATCTTTATTAGGCTGTACAGTCAAAATGAGGAGGGAGGAAAGGTGATATAGGTGTTTGGTTCAACTAAAGAGCCTGTACACCAATCCCTTCACCTGTGACAGCGAGAAACTGTCAACTTGGAGAAGCTGAATGGCGAGTGGACACCCGCCCCACCCCACTCAGACGCGTAAGCCTCTCTCCAGAGGGCCCCGGGGCCTTCTCCACTTCGGGGCCTTCTCCACCTCGGGGCCTTCTCCACCTCGGGGTCGGGATGTGCCTCCCCCACCTAGTCTCTCCCTACCTCGCTCTGAAAGGCAAGAAAGGGCCCCAGGCGCCTCACCTGCAATCCTCCCTTGAGGCAGGAGGTCCCTGCCCTTTCCCTTGCAGTGCACCTCCACTCTGACTCACCCAAAACAGTACCACGAAGCCCCTAGGCTTGCCCCTCATTTGTACCTCCGTGCTCCTTAACACTGAGGTGGCAAGGCAAAAGAAAGGACACACATCCCCAGCCCCTGGTCACCCAGATCAGCCTTCGCGCTTCATATTTAGAAGCCTCGTACCATGGACAAGACTAAGTTCGGGGCGCTTCTCTACGTGGAAAAAACCTGGCCCCGCCGCGCGGCCCGGACGCGCTGGCTCTTTAAAGGCGCTGGCTTCCTGCGCCCGCGGCCCCTCCCTCGCCGCCACCAGCTCCCGCCCTCGCCGAGGGTCACACTTGAACTTTAGCTTGCCCTGCTCGGCAGGGCGCCGGCGCTCGGCAGGCAGCGGCCACCCCTTCGCACGTGTCGGAGGCGCTACCTCGGGTTCCGCGCGCTCGGCCCCCTGCACTCGAGGCCGCTCTGGATAACACCAAAACAAAGCAAAATGCGCACCGGCCTCCAGAAACTGCGCGGCCGGCCCCACACCGTCCCCGGCGGGTCGCGCCCTGCCTGTCCCCTCCACCTGCAGCCCTGGGTGCGGGGCTCTGGCGCCCCTCGCCGCGCCCTCCCCCACCTGGCGCAGCGGAAACGGCCCCGCGGCGCGGCCCAAGGCTGGGAGGATCCGCGCCGGGGCGGAGAGGAGCCGCCCTCCCCCGGAGCGTACAGCAGCTCGGCAGGGCGCCGGCGCTCGGCAGGCAGCGGCCACCCCTTCGCACGTGTCGGAGGCGCTACCTCGGGTTCCGCGCGCTCGGCCCCCTGCACTCGAGGCCGCTCTGGATAACACCAAAACAAAGCAAAATGCGCACCGGCCTCCAGAAACTGCGCGGCCGGCCCCACACCGTCCCCGGCGGGTCGCGCCCTGCCTGTCCCCTCCACCTGCAGCCCTGGGTGCGGGGCTCTGGCGCCCCTCGCCGCGCCCTCCCCCACCTGGCGCAGCGGAAACGGCCCCGCGGCGCGGCCCAAGGCTGGGAGGATCCGCGCCGGGGCGGAGAGGAGCCGCCCTCCCCCGGAGACCCAGGAGGGAAAGCGGCAGCCACAAGAGTCGGCGCGGACCGGGGGAGTCTCTCCGAGAGAACCCCTTTCTCCTCTCACTGGCGAACTTTTCTGGCCGCTCTGACGTCCACTTCTTGCTGTACTTTCTTCACTTAGTTCCCAAACAAGCCCCTTTCCCAGTCCCACTCGGACACTCACTTATGCGGGCGCGCACACTTACTCCGGCCCCCACAGGTGCCAGGCAACCCCCCGCCACACGGGCCACTTCTGGCGCGCTCTTCCCCTCACGCGCTCCCTCATGCGCTGCACTTTCGGGCGGGCAAACCTACACAGCCGCCCTCACCTGCCCCACCGCGCCCTCAAGGTCCGGCCGCACGCCCCAGGGCCCTCACCTTCCAGCCCGCCGAGCTGTTGCTGTCGCCCTTATCCTTGAAGTAGGGCACGCTCTTGACCATCCACTCGTAGATCTGCGACAGCGTGAGCCGCTTCTCGGCCGAGCTCTAGATGGCCTTAGTGATGAGGTCGGCGTAGGACAGGTTGCCCCATGCGTTGCGACGGGACGAGCTGCTCTTGCGCGGTTGCCCCGCGAGCTGCCTCGTATAACTTCGTATAATGTATGCTATACGAAGTTATTACGCTACTTTTCCCTTCGGTGAAGGTCTGATGGATTCTCTCACTTTTTCCTGTGTGGCAAAAATATTCTTTTACTTATATATTCTTTCATGAAATATTTATTAAGCATCTATTGTGTGCCAGGCAATGTTCTAAACATTCTGCCATTTTTGTGGAGGTTTACTTTCTAGTGAAATAGCTCAAGTGACCAGTTCATCCCAGGACTTTCCTAGTTTTAAAACCAAAAGTCCTGTGTCCTGGCCACCCCCTTAGTCCTGGGAAAATTAGGATGTTTTGGTCATCCCAGAGAGAATTTGCTTATCAATAAGACTTTCACTGGAGACAAGGCTTAAAAAGAAAAACATAGGAAGTGTTTTTCAGAAATAATTCAAGATGATTGTTAGGGAAAAAATCTTGTAGATGCTGTTGTGTGTGTGCTGGATTCTGCAGTGAGTGGCCCTTGGAAAGGGAAAACTGGCTTCCCTTAAACTCTGACTTTCCACCTGGCACTCAGGATGGGATTGAGATACAATTTTAAATAAAAAAGTTGTTCATTTGTATTCTCTCACCTGTCTCTTCCCTACTGTAGAACATAATAGTCCCATGCTTTCCTCTTCACCGCTGCACCATTTGGCAATACAGGTCCAGTTACTCTTCCCTAAGCAAGTGCTTTATGCCTTCAAGACTTTGAACTTGCGGGATCTGCCGCCTCCCCCCGCCCGCGGCGGCGCGCGCGCCGGCCCGCCCCTGACTGACAGCCCGGACGGCCAATGGGCGCGCGGCACTGCTACCCGGGCCGCCAGTGGGCACCGGCCTGGGCGGGGGCGGCTTTCCACGGGAGGCGGCAGTGGGTGGTGGGGGTAGTGGAGTGTTTTTCTCTTTCACACTTTTATTTTTGGGGTCTCCTTTTTACTTTCTGGTAATTCTGAGCGCTTCTGTGAGTCTCTCCCCTGTCAGTGTTTTGATTGCTAGGAAGCAAACCAGCGTGGAGGGCGGCCACACTTTGTTTACTACCGAGAGTGGAACCAGCCGCCCGCTGCGCCCGACCCCGCTCGCAGCCCACACCGGGAGGCCGGGCCGCTCGGCTCTCCAGACGCGCGGGGTGGGCGGGCGGAGCTGGGCTCGCGGAGTTCGACTCTGTCTCCCCCTCTCGGCTCCACCCACGGTGTCTCCGCAGAGCAACGTGGGGAAGTCGGGGGTTGTTTTTGTTGCATGTTTTCTGTCGCTGCGCTGTCAGGTCCCCGCCAGGGAGCCTCCCCGCCGCCCCGCGCGCGGAACCCACCTGTCCGCACCCCCCAGCTGAGCCTGTCATTCAGTCTAGCCGGCCGGCCGCCCAGCCCGGCAGCCACCAGGCAGATTCATTCCATTCTTGACCTAAAACGCTAGATATGAGGGAAAGGGGCTCTCGGGGAGCAGATCCTGTTTCACACACGCACCCTAGACCTCATTCCCTCCGTGGGGACCTCTTCCCCTGGCCGGGAACCTCACACTCTGCCCACCAAGTGCATGGGCCGCAGCGAAGGGGTCCGAGGAGAGCTTTCAGAGAGAATCTTGTCGCTTTATACTTACCGCTAATTAAGCTTAATTGCTTGTTATTTTTTATTTGGAATGGAAGTAATGAGGTGTTGAGTAAAAACGCAAGAGGGGTTAGGGCCAATGCCTTGGGCCGCAGCCCTGTCCCCACCCCCAGGTTCATGTAGGCTACTTGCTGCCTGCGACAGTCAACCTCCCCACCCCACCCCACCTTTCCCCATCTGGGCTCCAGGTCCGGGACGTCCTGTCGAGGATTAGTGAGGCCAAAGGTAGGAAGACAATGGCCCTTGTGTCTCAAAGAGCAGAAGAAACAGTTTTCAAGTTTTGTGTTGTTTTTGGAGGAATAATATGGAAGGCATTTCCTTTTAGAGGGATGGGATCACTTAGGATAAAAGATGGACAGTAGGATTTTAACTATCTTGTCCAAAAGTATAGCTCCCAATTCTTTTAAAATCCTTTTCTTTCTTACAAGTAATTCTTTAATTGAAAACGTGGCCTGTATAGAAAACTAGACCTGTTTTACAACAGTGAAAAAGATTTAGGAAGGGAGATTTATTTCTACCTTTAATTTTCACTATCATCTCCCTACTCCAGGCCCCTATTTCTGTGTAATCTATTTATCACGACAGCTTCCTACTGATAATGGGAGTGGGCAGGGGGTCATGAGCCAGAGGGATTGGGGATAGAAGCCGGTTCCCACCCTCCTCCTCTGGTGGTCTCTTAACGTTTACTATCAAATTTGGACAGTTCGGGCCTCCTCTGCCAGCAGCGAGGAGACCTCAGTAACCCAGACGATGAGCTGAAAGAAGGGCCCCAACGTACAACCGTTACTACCCCCAACCTTTTCAATTACACGCTGCGGAAGCAGCCCCCGGATTCAGACAGCCACACCCTGCAAATAGGCGGTGGATCATTCTTAGCAAAGGAAGCCAGCTGCAAATTTGGCCTTGCCTTCATTTCCATTCCAGTTTTTCAGGGCCTTAGAGGAGAGTATTTGGGTAACTGAGTTTTCCCACAAATCCTTGAAATCTTCGAGGCTATCCAGCCCAAGTGTTTCTTTAAATGTTGTAATTTGCCTGTGTTTGGTCTTCAGAAACAAAAAATTGACATGAAGGAGGCACAGAGAACCTATAACGCCAATGTCCCTGAAACATAGGTCCAAAAAATTAATGTATCAAGAGGTTTTTAGAGCTGTCTACCATACTTTGTACCTAAAGATCAATTAACTGGAACATAGGGTGTTGGTGAATGTTTGGCTTATTTTCAGACTTTATCACAGGTTATTTATATCTATAGGAGGAATTTCCAGAAATGGGAGTCACTGGGTCAGCAGGTATATGCATTTGCAATTTTAAAAGACACATCAAATTGCCCTCTATAAGGGTTGTATCAAGCTAAACTTTCTTTTCAGGTAGACCCACAGAATGTTAAAGTTGACAGTAAACTGGGAGACTTTGGTGATCTCCTGTAACTTATAGATAGCCTCTCTGTGCCTCTGTTTTTCTAACTGATTTGCCCACGATCACACAATAAGAGTACTGGTAGAGGGCTAGCCGGTTACTTGATTGGTTAGAGCATAGTGCTGATAAAACCAGCTCCCAGGGTTTGATTCCTGTACCAACCAGCCACAAAAAAAAAAAAAAGAGAGAGGAGGAGTGGCGCCAGGAACAGAGCTCCAATTTTCTCACTTTCCCATCAATAACCTCCTTGATACACAGATGAAAAATTATAAATATCCGATATAACAATAACCACTGTAAGTTTATGGTATATTTCTTTCAGTTAACAGATCTTCATAATTTTAGTTAGATGAACTTCACTGATCTGAATAAAGATTTAAAAGATTAAAAAAGCAGACACAAAAATCATACTGATAGATAATGAAGGAAAAATGATTACAAAAGAGTGTTTTTTTGTTTTTTGGGTTTTGGGGGGTGTTTTTGTTTTTTCAGTAAAAAATGTGAACGTTTTCTCTCTCTCGAGGCTGCCAAAGTTTTTAAGTCGGCACTGGTTCTGCTTAAGAGGGAAAAGTTCTTTTCTCTTTCATGTCAGGTAAGGACAAAATGAAAAAGAAAATTTATCCTGACAAAGCCCATCTCACAAACCAATGTTACTCTGGTTTTTAGGGTAATTATTGTGTCATCCTTAACAGGAAGACTGAGGGATGGTTCTTTCCAATCAATTCTGTGGCAGAAACTTCTGCATTTATCCCTCACCTGATAACACGGATCTATGATCTAAATTCTTACTTGTCAAAATAGGTAATTTAAGTCCAATTTAATGAGTGGGTGTAAAGCTTGGATGCTTTTTTTTTTTTGGTCATGGTGCTTTGCTTCATACTTCATGTTCCCTTTCCTCCACAACTGTCCATTTCCAATATTTCGTCTGAGTTATCGATATCAACCTAAAACAGCCTTTCTTCAGTTTGCCCATAGAAAGTAGTGATCTGAAAAAGCCTCTGATCTTTAGATCAATGTCCTGAAAGCTGGCATATTAACTGGTAGCTGTAGTAATATCAGAAGTAATCCTTTTTCTTAGGGGATGATTTCCTTTGGATTTTGTCCCTCATTCCACAGATATTTATAGAGCAGCTACGGCATACATGCCAGCTGCCGTGGATCTTAGAGTCTGTTTTGATGGTCAATACCTTGAGGTCAAAATGGTTTATTTTATTATCATTGATATGATATTTGATATCAGAGTTAAGAATTTCTCTCTTTTGTAATCAGCAATGCCTATTGACAATATTTATTTGGAGGAATTACACAAAAAAAGTATTTGATAGATAAAAGGAATAAGGCAGGAAAAAATTGAAATATTATCATAGGTACCATTTAGGAGGAAAATAATGAGATGAGGTAGAAAAGCTAAATAAATGCACAATCCACAGGCGCTGAGAGTATGAGCTGCAGCCACAGGGCTGCAGAGGTGGGATGATCTTACTCCAAATGGATAAAAGGCAGAGGCTCCATCCCATTACTTGTGTATCACAAATAAAACAATGCCCACCAACCTGTAACAGAAGAAAAGCACTGGGCAGGTCATGAGCCACAGGTTCATTTTCAGTTCTGTGTGAAGAGCCAATGTTTGTCAGTTTCCCTCATAAATTCTGTTCCTCTATTTTAAGTGTTAGTGAGAGACTTCTTGTGGGTCTGTGCAAGAATGCTAACACATATTTGTAGATAATCTAAATGACCAACAATAGAGAATAGTTAAATAAATCATGGCATGCATCTGTAAGGTAGAGTCTTATGCAGCCAGTTAACAGAAAATTGTTGACAAAGTGTTTGCAATGAGATTCCCACAATGTGGGTGATACAATGTTTAAAAGGTTGGAAGTTATTGGGGCCGGCCCGTGGCTCACTCGGGAGAGTGTGGTGCTGATAACACCAAGGCCCCGGGTTCGGATCCCATATAGGGATGGCCAGTTGGCTCGCTGCCTGAGCGTGGTGCTGACAACACCAAGCCAAGGGTTAAGATCCCCTTACCGGTCATTTTTAAAAAAAAAAAAAAAAAAAAAAGGTTGGAAGTTATTATTGCCAGCTTTTTTTATGTTAGCAGTGGTTGTATCTGGGTGATGGATTTATAGGTGATTGTTATTGATCTAACACAGACCCCTCATTTCACAGGTAAGAAAGCAGAGACACTGAGAATTTAAGTGATTTGCCCAAGGCTGAACAGTTAGTGAAGTGGCAGGACCAGGACTCATATCTCCTAGAGTTCAGGCCAAACTCTCTGCATAGTATTGCATTGCTGTGAGTGACATTACCTTTTCTAACTGGAGGTTTTCAGACTGTTTGATAGAATTCAACCTATTTTAAACACTACATTCTTAACTATCTTTGAGACAATAAAAATAACTCTCCTAAGCCCTGAACTGTATACACATTAGAATTAAAATTGTTTCTAATATTGACGCATAGAATAAAATTAATGATGGCATATGAAATTCCAAATTTTCTGAATGTCACAAATCTGAATCTTGCATTCACGTCTGAAACACGGTGTGTTTTCACTATTTTATTTCTGTTTCTTGTCATATTAAACCTCTTAACATGCTTCCAAAAAAGGG